GCTGCAACGCCAGGGCGCCGAGACCGCCCTGGCGGCGCAGGGCGGCGAGCCGCAGGGCAAGCGGGCTGAGCTTCCAGCGGCCGAGCGCGCGGCGGAGCCTCTGGGGCAAGGCGACGGCGGCCGCCACGAAGCAAATCACTGTCCAAGCTTCCTCGCTCCCTGCTCCTCCTCCTCCTCCTCCTTCTCCTCCTGCCCCTCCTCCTCTTTCTCTCCTTCCCCCCCTGGCATCTTCGAATCGTGAAAGCGTGACGATGAGGGTTTCCTTGGCCATCTTCGGCCTGGGAGCCTTTGTCCCTTGTCGGGCCCCGGGGGGCGTCAGGAAACGGCTCGGGATGAAAAGCTTGTTCTGGGGACGGAGTCAAGCCCTCTGGGCAGTCACGCCGTGACAAGATCACGACGTCGGACGAATCGGGTCCTGAGGCTTTTCCCCGCTTCTCGGGCCCTCGGGGCCTTCCCTGGGCGCCCACGACCTTCAACGCAGCGCTGCGGGATGGAGGGCGAGCTGATCCCAGAGGGGAGCCTGGGTGTCCAGGAAAGGGATCTCCTCACCCCGATGAGGCATGAGGAAGAGAGAGAGGAAGAGGGAGGAGCGAGGAGCGAGGAGCGAGGAGAAGGAGGAAGATGAGAGGAGCAGGAGGTGGAGGAGAAGGCGGATCATCTTCGGGCATATCGAGGATGAGCAGGAGGAGGAGGAGGAGGAGGAGGAGGAGGAGGAGGAGGAGGAGGAGGAGAAGGAGGAGGGGGAACGGAGCGGTCGGGACGAGCGAGGAGGATCAGAACCAATGTAAACCCAAGACTTGCAAACGATGGTGCAATTAAACCCGCCCTCCAAGTACTCTCCTGATCAGTCCCTACAGGATTTTCTTTCACTGCGGGAAGTGCCCCGTTAGAAGGCAACCGTCTGAGAGACCCCAATCATGCCAAAACGCCGCTCCTGGGATTGCAACACGGCGAACCAACGTGACTGTTCTGTCCTGACAATCTTCAGTCGACCCAGAACACCATTCCTGGGACTTCAACACCCCGAATGAGTGTGACCGCTGCATCCTCGCAACCCTGAATCGTAGGAGAGCACCATTACTGGGATTACGACCGTGCGAATAATCCTTGACGCTGTTGCGAACTTCCGAAAAGAACTTGTGTGGTGCAACAAGAGCATCATCTTGAAACGGAGCCGCTCTCCATCCTTGAACCTGTTACAGACTTTGAAGGCGAATGTGCGCGGCGTCAAGGCCAGAACCACACTTAGGCAGCAACCCGCCCTCCGTCATTGAAGCTGCTGCAATTCAACCGAGTATGCGCTGCGCTAAGGCGAGAGCCACACTTCGAGAAGAACCCGCACTCCATTCTTGAAGCTGTTGCACATTTTAATACCAGTGTGTGCGGCGCCAATGCGAGCGCTACATGTGGAAGATCACCTGCCCTCCATCCGTGAAACTGTTGCACATGTCAAGCTTCAGGGTCATATGTGATGATGAAATCACAGGCGACACGCCCGGCCCGCTCTACCCACACGTGTGGGGGTGCGACAGGAATGAGTTATTCTTGACGCTTCGCGTAACCCCACCAGCCCATCCAAAAACGATGCCTAGGCGAGTTGCGCTGATCAGGGATGGGGGGTCTCGCGGATCCTCCTGGAGGCCGCTTGGAGGCCTCTTGGGGCGTCTTGGGGGCCTCTTGGGGCCGCTTTAGCGCTTGTTGGGGCCATCTTGAGGCCCTCTTTGGGCTCTCTTGGGGGCCTTGGAGGCCTTCTTGGGAACATATCGGAGGATATCAATCGAAGAGGGGAGATACTTAATTAGGCCACCACTCCTCCCCCTCTGGAGCTCCCAAAGTCACCTCTTGGGGCCCTCTCGGAGCGCTCTTGTGGCGCTCGGCGGCGCTCTTGGGGCCGTCTTGGGGCCATCTTGGGTCTCTCTTTGGGCCTTCTTTGGGCCATCTTGAGGGGCCCATCGGAAGCGTATGGCGAGAGTTTTATTTGTGGGATTTGGGGTTTTGTGGGGATTTTGTTGGGTTGTGTGGTTTTGCGGGGATTCTGGCTTGCGGGCCTCCTTGGGAGTCTCTGTGGACACTTGGAGTCATCTTGAGGCCATACTGGGGCCTCTCGGAGATATCTTGGAAGCCATCGTGGGCCATTCGGACCACATTGCTGCATCTTGGAGGCCATCTTAAGGAGTCTGGGGCCAGCCTGGAGCCCCCATGAGCCTCAAGCCTCCGAAGGACCCCCGAAAGCTACGATGTATGAAAACCCGTGTGTTGTTTAATGTGTTGTTGATCAAAGATAGGGGGTCCAACCAGGGTTCCACCTCTGGAGTCCCCAAAGTCCTCTTGGGGCCCTCCTGGGGTGCTCTTAGGGCGCTCTTGTGTGTTCTTGGGGCCGTCTTGGGGCCACCTTGGGTCTCTCTTGAGGCCAGCTTGGACCCTCTTGGAGCCATTTGGAGGCCTCGGGAAGCACTCAGAAGCGAAATGGCGAGAGGGTGAACATCATCTTTGTCTTCAGGTATTTGACAGTTATTGACCTCTCGGGGGCCTCCTGGGGATGCTCCAGTGCCACTTGGACCCGTCTTGGAGCGGTCTTCGAGCCTCTTGGAGTATGTTGGGAGCCGTCTTGAGCCATCATGGAGTATCTTGGGCCAGCTTGGAGGTCATCTTGAACTCTAGGAGGCCCTCTGAGAGCCATCTTGAGCCATCCTGGACGCTCCAACGACCCGCGACCCCCCCCTAGTCCAGGTCCAAAGGTAGGAGGTAGGGCAGGGGTAAACCCCTCCCCGAAGGGGAAGAAGGGGGTTTGAAGAGGAAACTCCCTAAACCACTCACGCTCTCAAGGGCTGGTGGGATTTATGAGGAGAAAGGATGGAAGAGGATGCGGATGATGAGGAGGAGGAGGAGGAGGCGGAGGAGGAGTAGGAGGCGGAGGAGGATGATGATGAGGGCAAAATGAACCCCCTAAAGAGGTGGTGTGCGGGTGGCCGAGCGCGCGCCCGCGAGGAGGTGGGCCAGGCTCGGGCGGCAGGGCGTGCCCGAGCAGGCCCGGGAGGCCGCCGGCGTGGAGCCCCCGGAGCTGCCCCGCGAGGCGCAGCTGCCCTGGGGCCAGCTCCACTCGCGCCTGGAGGCGCAGCTGCAGGGCCTGAGGGCCCTGGCGGCGCTGGCCTCCCGGGAGGACGGCAGGGTCGCAGGCCTGGAGGTTGACACCAACACCAATTTCGGCGGTGTGCCTCCACCGAGGGACGGCGATCCCGATCTCGGTGATGATGGTACTATTCTGGCTCCCAAGGTGGCCGGCATATCACCATCAGCACACCGAAATCTAGGATCATCGTCCCCCTTTTGGAGGCCCCCCCCGTGTGTTGGTGCTGGTGCCCATTTCCAGGCCTCCAACAGGGGGCCCTCCGCAGAGGGGCGCACGTTCTCGTGGCCGTGCGTCGGCGGTGGCACGATGCCAAGCGCATCGCCCCTGCTCGGTTCGGCGGGGCGGGCCTGCGCGCCGTGGGCGCGATGGGGCCGACGTCGTCCTCGGAGTCTTCGCGGCCCGAGGGCGCCTCGTGGGGGGGGGGGAGCCCGGCCGCCAGTGGCGCCCCGCTCGTGCGGTCATCGGTCTCCGGGACCCCCACATGTGCGTCGAACGCGTGTGTGGTGAGCCAGTGGGGATGCGGGGTGGCCGCCCAGTTTGGGGACTCAGGTCGTTCGCCGAGGGCGTCTCCGGCGAGTGTGGCCTCCGAGATCCCCAAGCCGTGGCGGTGACGGACCGTGCGGTGAGGTCTTCCAGGATTTCGAGGTCGCCGCACGGTCTGTCACAGCACCGTTTTGGGACCCCCAGCCAGATCTCCGAGGATCTGATTTTTCAATCCTAGCGTTTTTCCTCGACTTCGGTTCTGGGGCGCGTCATCGGGCCCTGGAACCATCAAACATGGACCTGGGACGAAACACGTGAGGCTGTCAGACAACGGCTCGGAATGGAAACCGGTCCCCAGGGATGGGACCAGACCCCAGGGGGACCAGGTTGCGAACAATTCGCCACGTCGGATGTCTGGGGGGACCGATGCCGCGACCCCTTCCGCGTGTACCAGCACGCGCAGCGGCGTGCCTCGAGCTGGTCTGGTTTTTTTCGGTTGGCGTCTCCCATCTCCTGGTCAGAACGCGCCCCGGAAGAGGCCGGTGGAGCTGCGGCATCGGTATTTCCCTTCTCCCCCCAGGACGCAGACGAGCCGGCACGAGCACTGACGGGGGGCGTGGTCACCACGGCGGACCACGGCGGCGCTCCTCAGCATGCTGGCGCAGGCGGTTTGCCCGACCGTGCTGCTCCTCCGGCGCCAGGCGGGGGCGGTCTGGAGAGGCCCGTGGAGCGCTACGACATCGGGACCCCCGCCGCCGACCAGCTGCGAGAGCTGCCTCCCGCCAGCCTTGCGCCGGGGGAGCCGGCGCCGTGCGCAAGCTCGGCGCCGCAGGAGCAGCTGCTGCGCACCAGCCCGGGCGGCGTCCCAGTGCCGTCGGGCGCCGCGCTCGGGGACGGCGCAGTCGGCAGCGAGAGCGCGCCAGGCCCTCGTGGCACAGCGGGCAGCCAGAGCGGCGCCACGCATGCCCCGGGTGCCGGCCAGGCGCAGACACTCCAGGCGGCGGACTCGCTGCCGCCAGAGGAGGAGGAGAGGCTGCTGCGAGAGAAGCAGGAGCTCCTGGACAGGTGGCGCGCTCCAAAAGGGGCCTCGCCTTCGGCGGAAGCCGTCGGAGGCCTCGCGGAAGGAAGACGGCGGCGGGCCCGCCGTCGGAGTTTTTTGCCGAGGGCGGCGGAGGGAGAAGCGAGGCGTCAACACGTGTGGACTCAGGGCTTCCGCGGAGAAGCGGACGATCCTGATACCTGATGCTTACACACTGCTCATGTCTAATTCTTTGAAAGTTCTTTCATTCTTTGGGGGACCAAGATCCTTTCATTTCTAGTTGTTCCATCCGGGGCCTCTTCCTGGCCACTAAGGGGCCAGGAGCAATTAGAATCGAGCACAGTTTGAAATGAGCACGATTAGAAATTAACGACGTGTACTGCTACCCGTCCATCGTTGCCACGGCTGGATTGGCCTCGAGGTCTTGGCCAGAACGCGCACCGTGAGAGGCCTCGGGAGCAGCGGGATCTGTGTCTTTTTGCTTCCCACGGGGGAGTCGGGGCCCGAAGCAGGGCGAGCTCGCCTGGTGCGAAAGCCTTGGCGACGCCACGGTCCTCTTCGAGCCGCTGCCTCCGAGCTCCCGGCTCCGTCCCCGGGCGTCGTGCTTCCGGCCCCGGGGTCCCGTAGAACGGCCCCCGAGGGCCGACACCGAGGAAGCTGGCGGGGACGGAAGGAGGTGGTGTCGTCGGGTGTCGAGGACCTCAGGGTTCCCAGGGCCGGCCAGGTGCCGCGAGCCGGAGGGCCGCCTCCTCGAGGAGGCTTCTGGACGTCAGGGGCTATCGTGGCGGGAGGAGGAGGAGCAGGAGGGGGAGGAGGGGGAGGAGGAGGAGTAGGCTCTGGAGTGTTCTGGGGGCCAGGGTACGGTAGGTTCGCGTCGTGTCGACCAGCGCCGACCCCAGCGCGGGTGTACAAGGTTGAACGCCGCTCGCGACCCCAAATCGGTCGATGTTGAACTATCGGATGTTTTGATAAACTACCGATCATTCAAGGTTGAACTGTTCCCGCGGTGTCAGGGAGCAACGCTGGGGTCGGCACGACACGAACCTGCCGTAATTACTCGAGGAAGTGGGGGTTCCTCGAAGAAGTGGCGACCTGCCCAGACAGCCGACGCCTCGATGTTTTCACAGCGTCGACCCCTGAAAATCTCAACCGATTCACATGAGCGACGGAAGAAGTCGGGGTCGTCTTCGCCGACGTTAGCGCGTAAGCTGCTCGCGTAAGGTCGCGCGTAAGCGCCATCGCTTCCAGCGTGGCGTGCCCGCGTAAGCCACCGCGTAAGGTCGCTATGGCATCTCGCGTAAGATCCGTTTTTGATCGTCGCTCACATGAGAACGGTTTCTCATCCCAAGTGGTTTGTTCACGGCCCCGAGGTCCGGCAAGGGCCCCCAGAGGCTGAATCTAGCGAATAGCCTCCCGTTGTTAGCTTCTCACGTCTCGAGGGCCTGAGGAAGATGTGGCGACCTGCAGGTGCCGTACGCCTTGTCTGTCGTCCTAATGTCGTCTTCATAATACATTCGCGTACGCTAGCGCGTGGTTGTCGATGAGACAGCGCCGATGTAGCGTCGATTTGGCGTTGATGTGGCGCCGATTCGGCGTGGATCCGCGTCGGTTAGCGTCGGCGAGCGTCGATTTTCGCAACCGACAGCAAGATGGTATGGGAGGCTCCCATGATTTGCCACCGAAGTCTTCGAGCAGGACATCGAATACATAATCGAATTATTCCAGAGGTGATTGGTTCTCCGAATCTCGTTGGTAGATTTACGATCATTTTACGCATGCTTCGTATTCTCGACGGGAATGCAAGTCTGGGGTCGATCAATTATGTAGTCGATCTCCTACTCTGTGGTGCAACTGCTCCGGCAACCGATTCCGTGACACACGCATTTGCCTTAACAGTGCGGGACCTGGGTTGTTGTGATGGGCCTGGCGGGCTATGCGAGGACTGTATGTGATGCATCGCGGTCGCCCCCCCCCTCTCTCTTCCTCTTTCCTCTCCCAAAATAGGAGACTGTTTTTTAGGGTCCAGCGATAGCCCTGGTTATCGGGCTTGCCCCCCCCCCCTCCCCCCCTCCCCCCCCAGAATAACCTAACCTTGCCGGTTGTGCAGGTCCAGGGTGGGGGGGCGCAGGCATATGCAGGGCTGCCCACAGCGCGAGGGTTCGGTTATCGGCCGGCCCCCTCCTCCTCCCCCCCCCTGGCCCCCGGATACCCCGGGCTATCGCCGATTCCCCCCAAAACAGTGTCTAGTCCGATGTCCAAAAAAAATCCCACTCGACGCTCCCAGAGATCCTTCAATACGGGGTCCCTGGAAGTCTCGATCCATTCCCCGGGACCAGTTTTTCATCCTGCGTCGTTTTTGACGGTCCTGGGGCCCGGCGAGGGCCACTGGAGGCCGAAAAGGGCGAGAAACCTCCGTTTTGATTTTTTCAATGCGTTGGATCTCTGGGCTCGCAGGTGCCGCGAGCTGGAGGGCCGCCTCCTCCGGAAGCAGCTCGAGCAGGCGGCCACCGCCAGCCGCCGCCGCCCCGGCGGGCGCGCGCCCCCGGCGGAGAGCCCGCGGGGCGCGCCGCGGGGGCCCCGCGGCCCGCCGCGGGAGCCTCCGTCGCCTCCGCCGCAGCAGCCGGTGCATCGGAGGGGGAGGGTGGAAGGAGAAGCAGAAAAGCACAAGCATAAACTTAAGGCGGGCGTGTCCCTCTACAGTGGGAAAAATACAAAATCAGTACAACAAAAATAGTCTGGGGACGATGTTCTGAATACTTGTGTCTGCTTTTGAGTTTTGGTTGTTTTTGTAAAGAAAGCCTTGCCGTGGATCTTCCAAAGCCTTACCCTTAAATCGGGCCTGTCCGTCTACAGGCGGGATATTCAAACATAGTCGAAAAATAGTGCGGGGACATTTTTTTAGGTTTTAGCAATTTTTGAACATGCCCGACCTAATCGAAGAAGAAAAAGCCACAGAAGCATAAACTTTTGGCGCTCCACGCGGATTTTTTGGATCCCCGCCTGGACCCTCCGGCGGCGCCTCCGGCGCCGCCCCTGGCGCGCTCCGCGCGCCGGGGAGGGGGGTCCAGCGCGAATCCCAGAAGTCCGCACGGAGCGCCAACAGTTTATGTTTTTTTTGTTTCTTCCTCTAGAGAGGCTCACCACTTCAGCGTGCAACTCCTGGGAGGTTGCACTCCGAATCGCCGCTGGTATACCCAGGCCGGCAACTGGCCAAATCTGGCTCGACCCCGCCCGATGCTGCTCAGTTCCACTGCTCCCGGCCTCATCTCGTTCGGCCCATGTTCATCTCAGGCTCACTCTTGCCTGGTCTGGCTCAACGGCCCAACAATCGGTCTTGATGGCCCTTTGCTCGTTCAGACGGAAGCCTTCCAGGCGTTTGCCTGCTAAGCTTCCCGAACCACCCCAACCCAACCCGAAAGTCCCAGACCACTCCCAATTTCGGGTTGGGGCGTAAATCAAAGAGGGAGCGACGGCACAAACATTGGAGCCGGCTGGAGTGTCTGAGGTGGGCCAGCATTGGTTCCAGCGAGCCGAGGGGGAGGGATAGGTTCGAGGCGCGGCGTTCGGGAAGGCTTCTTGACTTTTTCGGCGTCCGTGGGCCTTTTTCTCGGGCCCCCAGGAATTGATATTGAGCGGATTCGGCTTCATCCCCCCTCCTGACCGATTCTCTGGCGTCCCAAACAGTTCAGACCCCCCAGTCGCTTCCAACAAGCATACTCCGAGTTTCTTAATAAGCGTCGGGGGGGCGTCACCCCCGCCGACAGCCCCACATTCATCCGCTCCCCGTCGCGGGCAGCCACCGCGCGCCGAAGGCGCTCCGACCCCCGTCGCGGCGCGACGACGAGGCGAGGTTGACCCCCGTCGGGGAGGTACCCCCCACGCTCATTAAGACACCCAGCGTATGGTCAAGGCGTTGAAACTTAGGGGCCGCTTTGGGCTCCGGAGGGGCTCCGGTTCTTTGCTCGTTCCTGCGGGCCAGGTCGGGAGGACTTCACCGTGGCCGAGGCTCGCCGTGGCCAGAACTTCACCGTCGTTCCGTCTTCGGTGCTCCTTGTGGTAGCACGATGGCTGTAAACTTTCGGAGGTCTGCGTGAATTTCTTGGCTCGGCGCTGGGCCCCCTGGGGGGCGCCTCCGGCGCTGCCAGGGTGGCCCAGGGTCTATCCAAGAAAGCCGCGCAGAGCTCCGACAGTTTATGCTTTTGTTGTTGTTTCTATCTCCTAGGTGCAGCAGTCGCCGTACCTCTGCGGGTCGCCCTTGGAGTCCGGCGCGGCATTCTCGCCACCGCAGCAGCATCGGCGGACGGCCAGTCGAGGCGACGGCGGCGCTCCTCGGCGCTTTTGTTTGTTTTTGGTTGAGTGGGCCTCCTGGGAGCTTCTCGTTGCCACGGCTGGATCCTTCGTGGACAACAAGTCGGCACGGAACCCGTGAGGGGTCCGGGGACCGATTTTGAGTTGATGTGGGCTGGGCGTAGGAGCTGCCGTCGTCTGGATTGGCCCTCCCCTGGCAGCAGCAACGAGCGCAGTCCAGCTACTCGTGGCCGGGGGCGCTGGAGCACCGCGCCCAGAGGCTCCGGCAGAGGCTGCGCCAGGGGGAAAGCCAGAAGCTCGCAGGTCTGGGGACGGGCGTCGAGCTGGAGCAGCCGAGCCTTCCGCTGCGAGACGAGTGCGCGGAGGAGGAGGAGGAGGCGGCGCCGCAGCATTGGGCGTGCCCCGGCTACGCGGACCAAGCGCAGCTGGAAGAACGGATGCTGCAGCAGCTGCTCAGCAGGCAGGCGCAGTTTCGGCGGCCTGCGGCGGGGCAGCTTCGGTTCCCCCCCGCGGTGGACGTGGAGTTCGCGGAAGGCTCCGCGCGCGGCTCCTCGCCGCCAGCGTCGCCGCCGTCGCGTGACCCCCCCTCTGCCGTGGCCGTGCGGCTCGTGAGCCCAGGCTCTGCCCGTGGCTCCTCGCCGCCAGCATCGCCGCCAGCGCGTGTCCCCCCCTCGGCGTGTGCCCTCGCTGGCGGCAGCGCTGCGCTGGGCCCAGGCTCTGCGCACGGCTCCTCGCCGCCAGCCTCGCCGCCGTCGCGTGGCTCCCCCTCCGCGGTGGACGTGCGGCTCGTGGACCCCGGCTCCGCGCGCGGCTCCTCGCCGCCAGCCTCACCGCCGGCCCGTGGCTCCCCCTCCGCGGTGGCCCTCGCGAGCGGCGGCGCCGCGCTGAGCACAGGCTCCCCCTGTGGCTCCTCGCCGCCAGTGTGGCCGCTGGCGCGTGGCTCTCCCTCGGCGGGTGCCCTTGCGGGCGGCGGCGCTGTGCTGAGCCCAGGCTCCGTGCCTGGCTCATCGCCGCTGGCGTTCCCGCCAGCGCGCGGCTCCCCGCCGCCACTGCCGCTGCCGGCGCAGCTGGCGGCAGAGGCCGCCTTGTCGGAGAGCGAGCGGGCCGTGCTGCAGTGGTTTCGGGGAGGGCCGGGCGCGTAGGGCGTAGGCGCCCAGGCAGGTGCTGTGCAGAGGCTAATTTCCGTAGCGTGCCAATGTCGTTCTGGTGCTCGACCCGAGGCCGCAGCGTGGGCGGGTTGTTCCCGCCAGAGTTCTTCAGCCTCCTCCCTCTGCTGGAGGGATTCTCCGAAGGGCTTAGGCGACCCGTCCTCCTCCCCCTCCTCCTCCTCCTCCCTCCTCCTCCTCCTCCACCTCCTCCTCCTCGTCCTCTTCCTCGTCCTCATCCTCCTCCACCTCCTCCTCCCTCCTCCTTCCCCCTTTTTCCCTCCTCCTCCTCCTCTTCCTCCTCCTCCTCCTCCTTCTCCTCCTCCTCCTCCTCCTCGGGTCGCCTACGGCCCCGGGGGAAACCGTGCACTCCTGTTTGGGCGGCGCGCACAAGGGGGTGGCTCGGGGGGGGGGGGGGCGGCCTTCTCAGAAGCCTGGGGGGCTGCTTGGAATGCAGAAGGCTTCTTGTGACGACTTCTCGGGGCTCTCGTATGTCTTCTGGGAAGATTGGAGGCCCTTCCAAGAAGGCTCTCCTTTTCAATGCAGCATCCCAGCATTTTTTAGGGCCCAACCTCGCGCCACCCCCCCGTGCGTGTCGCCAACTCTTATTGCCCGCTCGTCTGCGCTCTTTCCCGTCGATCCGGGACAACGTCGTCAACCGAGCATGGCCCCCAGAGGCCCAAAGAGGGTAACACTCTGGCCGCATTGATTTTTCAAGGCGCCAGGTGTCTGGGACAAGGAGGTCCAGAGAGCTTGGTTCTGGAGGCCTCAGGACGGCCTCCGAGACACCATGCAGGGGGAACAGATTGAAGACATTTCTCCACCTCCTTGACCACCCCCTTTCTCCTCCTTCTGGCAGCCTTCTGGTCTCCCAAGCATTCGGCGTCTTGTTTTTTGGCTCAGCATGGCTCCGCAGGAGGTCTCCACCCCTTCCAGGGGGCAGGCTTTCCATCCCGAGTCGTTTCTTGACGGTCCTTGGGCCCCGTAGAGGTCCCCCGCAGGCCGAGAGCGGCCCAGCACCGCCCGCCGTGACTTTTCCACGACGCGCGGATGTCGGGGTTCTTCTCCTTCTCCTCGGCCCTTCCCTCCCCTTGGAGGAAGCACTCCCTCCCCGTCCCCGGCCATCTCCCACCGCTCGCTTCGCCACTCGAGGTGTACAATCAGAAGTTCGAGATCCTCGGCACGGACCCGACGGGGGGGGCGGGGGGGCTCTCGAGGGGTGGGGCTGCAGGCGGGAGTGGTGGCCTTGGCGAAGAAGGGGGAGGAGGAGGAGGAACGGAAGGACGAGAAGCAAGAGGGGGAGAGGGGGGAGGAAGAACATGATGAGGAGTGGCAGGAGGGGCAGGAGGAGGAGGGGGAGGAGGACAGGCATGTAGGTAGGCAGGAAGTCAGGCACGTAGGCAGGAGGAGGAGACAGGGTGGGGAGCAGGTGGATGAGGATGAGGATGAGTATGAGGATGAGGATGAGGATGACGAAGATGATGCTGCTGCTGCTGATGATGATGATGATGATGATGATGATGATGATGATGATGATGATGAGGACGATGATGCTGATGATTATGAGGCTGATGCAGCTGCTGACAATGATGATGGCGATGCTGCTGCTGATGATGCTGCTGATGATGATGATGATGGTGATGATGATGATGATGATAGAGATGTTGATGATGATGCTGATGATGATAATGATGGTGATGGTGATGATGATCATGATGATGCTGCTGATGATGATGCTTTCGATGCTGATGCTGATTGTGCTGATGATGGCGATCATGATGACGATACTGATCATGATGATGATGGTGATGCTGATGCTGCTGATGATGATGCTTATGATGAGTATGATTATGGCTTATGCTGCTGATCTTGACGATGATGACGGTGCCGGGACATATTACGATGATGCTGCTGATGTTGACGACGATGATGATGACGATGAAGATGATTGTCACGATGACGATGCTAACGACGACGCTGACGATGACGATGATTATGATGATGACGATGATGATGATGATGATGATGATGATGATGATGATGATTATGATGCTGATTATGATGATGATGATGATGATGATGATGATGCTGATGATGCCCACAATGCCGATTATGACGATAATACTGATGCTGATCATGATGTTGGTGATGTTGGTGATACTGGTGATGGCGACAACAACGATGATGCTGATTATGGTGATGATAATTATGATGCTGATTATGCTGATACTGTTGATGCTGATGATGCTCATGCTGATGATGCTGCCGATGACGATGACGATGACGATGACGATGGTGATGATGATGATGATGATGATGATGATGCTTGTGATGATGCTGGTCGTCGTGATGTTGATCATAATTATGATGCTGCTGACGACGACGATGATGACGACGATGATGTTGAAGCTGCTGCTGGTGCTGCTGATGAGGGCGCTGTCGATGCTCATGATGATGGTGATGCTGATGATGATGATGCTGATGATGATGCTGACGACGAGTCTGCTGATGATGCCAATGGTGACGATTGCGATGATGATGGTGATGATGCTGATGCTGATGATGATGCTAATGGTAATGATGATGATGCTGATATTGGTGCTGATGATGACCATGATGATGCAAGTGATGATGATGACGACGAGGATGGTGTTGGTGATGATGCTGATATCATTGGTTATGTTGATGTCGATGATTAAGATCATGATGACGATGTCGACGATGATGATGATGCTGATGATGATGACGACAATGATGGTAATGGTCCTGATAAGGATCATGATGATGCTGATGCTGGTGTTGCTGGCGATGATGCTGTTGATCATGATGGTGACTATTATGTGGCTGATGATGTTGATGCTAATGATGCTGGTGCTGATACTGATGCTGCTGCTGCTGCTGATGATGATGCTGCTGCTGATGATGATGATGATGATGATGATGGTGATGGTGATGCTGATGATTGGGATGACGACAATAACGACGATGTTGATGATGCTGATGCTGATGAGGTGGAGGGAGAGGAGGAGGATTATGATGCTGCTGATGTTGATGCTGCTGCTGATGCTGCTGCTGATGATGATGGTGATGATGCTGGTAATAATAATGATGATGATGATGATGATGATGATGATGATGATGATGATGATGATGATGATGATGATGATGATGATGATGATGATGATGATGGTGATGCTGCTGCTGATGATGATGACTACGATGGTGATGGCTACGATGATGATGACGACGATGATGATGCTGATGATGTTGATGCTGATGGTGATGATGATGGTGATGATGATGGTCATGATGATGATGACGACGATGATGATGATGATGATGATGATGATGCTGATGATGTTGATGCTGATGCTGTTGATGCTGATGCTGTTGCTGCTTTCCAGGCTGCTGATGATGCTGCTGCTGATGATGATGATGATGATGATGATGATGATGATGCTGATGATGTTGATGGTCATGATTTACAGGCTCCTGAACAGAAACGTAGGTCGATGGAGGGCCGCGCGGATGTCTCTGCAAACGTTACGGGTGAAGATTTCTTCGTAGAGAGGCGCCCACTCGTTCTTGCGGCCTGGACGCGTTGCGCTGCTTGGCGCAGCATCCTGCTCGTCTTCCACGTGGACAGTGCCTTTTTCGGCCAGTGGTGGGCGGCGTCCCGGCTGCCACCGCTGCTGAGCGCGACGGCGGCGGCGGCCCTGGGGCCTCCCGAGGCACCCGCGCCCGCGCCGCCAGCGCGGGACCGCCCGGTGGCTGCGCCGCCCACTCCCTCCCCTAGGCTGCCCGCGGTGACGTACCCGCCCGCTTCTCTCCCACTCTTTGCCTGCCCCCCCCCCCCCCCCCCCCCCCTTGCCCCCGTTGTCCTGGGCCCTGGTCGTCCCAATTCTGGCGGGCCCTCTTTGCTTTCCCTTTGTCTTTGCCCCTTCTGGGGCTGGCGGACTTTCTTCCTCAGTTGCCGCCGCTCGCGTGGCCGCAGAGTCTTTTACTGACGGCGGGGCGAGCCGGCTGCTTGCCGACGACCAGAAGTGCGCGTGTGTGTGTGTGTGTGTGTGTGTGTGTGCACGGTGGCCGAGTTCGCATTCGTGCATCTTCCAAAGCCTTACCCTTAAATCGGGCCTGCCCCTCTACAGGAGGGATATTCAAAATAGCCCCCAAAATAATACGGGGACGATTTTTGACAATTGTTGAATATTTTGGGAGTTGTTTTTTTGTTTTTGTTTTAAATTTTCGCCCACAATCCCCCTCTGAATGGGGGACAGGCCCGACCTAACCTTACCGCCAGCGCAGTCACTCAGCCTAGCCGCCGACGTACAAGAATGTGTGTGTATGTGCGTCTTGTGCTGCCCGTGTCCTGCGTTCGTCCTCTCCCTGTTTCTCTTCGAGCTCTGGCCGAGTGCGCCCTGTCCTGCCCACCCTGCCTGGCCTGCGACGCACAGCATGAGCCTGGCCTGGTTCAGCGTCATGCTGATGTTGATGATGGTGATGATTCTGATGCTGCTGATGCTGATTACGATGGTGATGGTGATGATGGCGCTGCTGCTGATGATGCTGGTGACGAAGATGATGACCATGATGATGACAATGACGATGCAGACGATTTTTACGATGATGACGACTCTGACGACGACGACGACTCTGACGACGACGATACAATGATGATGATGATGATGATGATGATGATGATGATTATGATGATGATGATGATGATGATGATGATGATGGTGGTGATGATGATGATGGTGCTGATGATGCTGATGACTTTGCTGATGATGCTGGTGATGCTGATGGTGAGTATGATTATGACGGTGATGATGTTCGTGACGACGATGCAGATGATGATGGAGAAGGAGACGAAGATGAATCTGATGAGGACGAAGATGAGGATGAGGATGACGATGATGCTGCTGCTGATGATGATGCTGCTGCTGATGATCATATGATGCTAGTGATGATTGTGATGATGATGATGATGATGATGATGATGATGATGATGATGATGATGATGATGATGATGATGATGATGGTGGTGGTGGTGGTGGTGGTGGTGGTAATGATGATGATGAGGAGGAGGGGCAGCTGCAGGGAGAACAGGAGAAAGAGGAGCAGGATGATGAGGCTCATCATGCAGGAAATGCGGAAATTCGCCCGGCGTGCCATGCCGTTGCCCGCGCTCGAGGCGGGCGCAGTTCTGGTGGAGACTATTCGCGCACGTTGCATGCAGCTTTTGTTTCTGGACGGCAGTTGGGCTCAGGCGTTCGTGACGACGGGCACATCTTTGGTGCATCCGGCTCGCGGCAGGCTGCTCTTGCACCTGCGGGCTCGTCTGCTCGCTGTTTTGCGCAGGCCGGCGCCTGCGTCGGGCCGCCCCTCCCTTTGTCCTCCCTGAGTGAGCTCATCTGGGAGCATGTGGAAGAGAATCGAGGATCGAAGATCGAGGATCGAGGAGGAGGAGGAGGAGGCCCGAGGAGGAGGCCCGAGGATCGAGAAAGAGGGGGTTCAGGCTCGAGGAGTGACTTTCCGTGCGCAGCTCGGGTCACATTGGGCCAGGCCCGCCTGGAAGTCCGCACCGCTCGCGGGCGATGGCGCGGCTGGGCCGGCGGGCGGTGGGCGTGGTCGCGGTGCTCGCCCTGGGGCCCCCGGGCGCCAGCACCTGCGCAAACGACTACTCCGGGATCCGACCGTGGGCGACTTGCGACTCCGCGTGGGAGATGTACGGGGTGAGGTGCGCGGACCTCGAGGCCGCCTTCGTTAGTAGGAGGAGGAGGAGGAGGAGGAAGAGGAGAAAGTGGATGAGAAAGAGTAGGAGAAGGGGAAGGATGATCATGATGCTGATGATGCTGTTGCTGATGATGATTATGAGGAGGAGGAGGATGAGGATGAGGATGAGGATGAGGATGATAATGATGAGGATGATGTGATGATGATGACGATGTGGAGGAGGAGGGGGAGGAAGAGGAGGATGAGGAGGAGGAAGATTAGTTTTACCCCAAGACGCATCAACGATGTTGCAAAACACCCTCCCTCCAAGTTCCCCCTTCACAGGTCCATACAATAATTTATTATCATTGCGGGAAGTGCCTCATTGGAAGACAACTGTCTGAGAATCCCCTATCGTGCCAAAAAGCAATTCCTAGGACTTCAGCGCTCCTTAAACGTGTTGCGCGGAG